TGCTGCAGTTGCTCCAATACTTAAAAAACCTGGTTTGGATCCTAACATTTTTACTCATCTCCACCCCATCTCCAACCTACCCTTTGTCTCTAAAGTTTTAGAAAAAATAGTCGCTGCCCAGCTCCACACCCATCTGACACTAAACTCCTTCTATGAACTCTTCCAGTCCGGTTTCCGCCCATTTCACAGCACAGAAACAGCCCTCCTCAAAATAACTAACGATCTCCTCAATGCTGCTGATTCAGGTCTACTATCCATCCTGGTCCTCCTTGATCTGACTGCGGCCTTTGACACAATATCTCATTCCATTCTCCTCCATAGGTTATCCTCTATCGGCATTGCTAACATCCCACTTCAGTGGTTCCAGTCCTACCTATCAGGTCGCACTCAGTTCATTACTATCAAATCCTCCCGCTCACAGCCCTCTCCTGTCTCTTCTGGTGTGCCCCAGGGCTCTGTCCTGGGGCCCCTCCTTTTCATTATATACATCCTTCCCCTTGGCAATATCTTCCGCAGATTCAATATTCATTTTCACTGCTTTGCGGATGACACCCAGCTCTATTTGTCCAGTAAGCCAAATTCTGCACTTCCTCCCTCCTCCCTCATCACCTGCCTTCAAGAAATAAAATCCTGGTTCAGTTCGAACTTCATGAAATTAAATACAGACAAAATATAACTTATTTTGGTTGGTACCAAGAACACCCTCTCAAAATTTGACAGTTTCTCTCTCACTGTTGATAATACTTCAGTTTCCCCCTCTCCCCAGGTCAAGAGACTGGGTGTCATCCTAGACAGTACACTATCTTTCCAATCTCATATCAATAGCATCACTCGGTCAGCTTATTTCCATCTTCGTAACATTAATCGTCTCCGCCCCTCCCTTGATATCCACTTTACTTCTATTCTTGTCCATAGTCTGGTTACATCACGTATCGATTATTGCAACTCTCTTCTCTCAGGCCTCCTTCAGAAAACCCTCCGTAAGCTCCAGTTGGTTCAGAATGCAGCAGCACGCATCGTCACTAAAACTCCCATCTCTCATCACATCGCCCCCATCCTCAAACAACTCCATTGGCTACCAGTGCATACCAGGATTAACTACAAGATTCTCCTTCTCACCTTCAAGGCCATCCATAACCTCGCCCCTCACTACCTCACAGATCTCGTTCACATCGTCACCTCGTCCCGTTCCCTCAGGTCCTCCTCCTCCATTCATCTCTCTGTGCCCTCCTTCCGTCTCAGCACCATGGGGAGTAGAACCTTCAGCTGCACCGCTCCCAAACTCTGGAACTCCCTTCCCCCTCTCATCAAGAACATTAACTCATTCACAGAATTCAAAAAACAACTCAAAACTCACCTCTTCATAACCACATATCAACTTTGAATTTTAGAGTGCCTTGTTTGTTGATGTTTACGTATGTTTACTTATTGAATGATTTGTGTATTTATTCTGTACAGTGTCCTTGAGTGACCAGAAAGGTGCTTTTAAATAAAATGTATTATTATTATTATTATGCTTGTCCTCGTCCATACCGTAAAAGAACCTCAGAACATGGTCCTGCGTAGCCTTCTCACGAGCCACGTCCAGGGGGTAAACGTCGCCAGACGCCACTGCCACCAATGTAGTAGGTGAGCTGTAGAGGTTCAAGCTCGTGGTCTCGGGACAAAGAAGAGATAGGAGAAATACCTTTGGAGTACGGGAACATGTCTCCGTTTATTTGGAAGCTTCACCAGTCAACACAACAGCCTGCGAACGAATGAATGTCTCCACAGAGAGTCTAGTGACTCCACCCCCCAGTCCAGCAGTTCAAAGTTAACAGCACATGCGCACAACACATCACCCGCTTACATTAGCATACAGCCCCTTCAAAATCCACCTAATAAAAATTGTTTTAATTAATTTAGCTACTTCATTACATGACTCTATTAATATGCGTGTCAAAGTGAAGTTGCTGTGGTTTTGAATGTGTCGCTAACTGCACTGAAGGACAGAAAATTTACTGAACTGAAGTCCGGCCACAACTCCCAGAATGCACTAGACAAGGAAGCGCTTCTATAGCCAGTTTATGTGTGTGCACACTAACAGTGGGGCTGTTTACGTTATCGTGCACACACACAAACTCGCTCGAGAGCTGCTTTCATGTCTGGGGACAATGTATCAATCTGTCGGCCGTATAAAATGTCTGAAACTGTAAAATAATAGCTGTCTCGTTATAACCTGACTGCAAAGCGTGCAGGGTTAACTTTTACTTACTTCCAGAGGCAGTGGCGGAGCTTGATATGTGCAACATGTGCGGCCGAACAGGGCGGCAGTCAGGAGGGGGCGGCATTTAATTTCGTTTTTTTTTTTTCCCATCAACCGATACATCAACAAAACATAGATAATAATAATATTTCTGTAATAAAAGCACAACAAAGTCATTGTTTGCGTTTATATTGGGATTTTATTGCGCCCCCTTGTGTCCGCCGCGCCTCTGTAGTGCGCTCTATAGCGCCCTTCATCAGGTGGGGGGCGGAGGGATCTCGGAGAGTGATGATGGAGGGATACAGGTACCGTTTCACATATCACCGCTCACAAACATAATGGAGAAGAAACGGTCAAAGCCATCTGGTGCCCAATTTTGGAAAAAAAGAAAAGAAGAGGAGGAGAAACAAGGAAAAGATGCAGGTATGCATCTTTTTATTATTTAGTTGGTATTTTTCCCGCATGTCCCCCAACTTATTGATTAACTAACCTCTCTAATCTGAACTATGATGATCCCTTCAAATGTCTTTTGCTAGCTTCTTACTTTGCATGTATTTAGAACTACTTCCAACCGCTAGCTTTTTCTTTGTCAAATGAGCTTTTATGAAAAGCTAAGAGTGGGAAAACCGAAAGGCTGATAACCAAACGCTATCAAATTAAAATGAGTCTTTGAGAATTTTGCTGAAATACATTGACGGCGGGCGGAAGGTCTCGCGCCGGCGCCATTCGCCTTTCTTTTTTGACTCGGGAAATGAGCTACGTATTATTTACCCCATGAAAAACGGAGCGGCAGCGGCCCGGGCCGCTAGAGGTGCCCTGCTAGTAAGATCCCGTTTAAACTGTAAACTGCCATAAAATAAAAACTATAATAGCTAGAGCGGTCTTTTTTTTAGCTGAAAGTTGAGACTGTCTCGCCTTTCAGCCCTGTACAAGTCGATGATGTCATCGTGTTGCGTTATGTGTGCTGCACAGCACACCGCGGCTATGTTAACTCACAGTGACCTTGAAGCAGCATGGGAGAGTTGAAGAATTTAACCAGTTAAAATGGATTCATGGATATTTAATCAATAGTTGTGGCTCCTCTGGTCATTTAGTTCTTTGTCTGCCGGAGACATTTGCTGAATAAGGAAATAAAAACTTAAAATGATAAAAAAAAATAGGGAAAAACACTTGTTTTGTATTCTATCAATTATTAATAATAGATTGTTGGTGTTTTAACTTCTGGTAAAGGAAAACACACAATTTCCAGGCAGCCCCAGTCTGGAGAAGTGATGGTGACATCAGCCGTTAAAAATAAATAATACTCTGAGGTTTTTATGAATAATTTGTACTTTTACTTGAGTATTTCTCTAACACCAGTACTTTTACTTGTAAATGAGTAATATTTTAGCAATGTAACAGTACTTGTACTTGAGTACAGATTTTCAGAATTCTTTCCACCACTGCTGAAAACTGTAAATGCTCATTGTAACATGTTAATTAAAATGCTAAAGCAACAGAGGTGACATGAAGATTGTATTGTTTGTTTTATGCAACATCAGGAGCCCTACGCAGATATTTTGGGATGACATCAGCTGCCACTGAGGAACAGCCATCTACCTCCACTGCTCATACCAGTAGGCCAGTATTTGAACTTGAGGAGGGACAGTCTGCTGGCACCACATCTCCCCAGGAAGATACTTTAGGTGGGTTTTGCACATGTGTGTGTGTCCAGCAAACATTTAGCTATAGACATTTAAATTGTATTTTCACAGAATATGGGAATTGTTCCATATAGCAATGTGGTGAGTTATGCTTCTATTTTCTGTCAATAGAGAGACCTACCAGTACATGTGAACTTGATGAGGGACAGCCAGCTGCCACATCTCCCCAACAAGATACGTCAGGTAAGTTTTGCACAAGTGTGTGTGTGTGTGTGTGTGTGTGTGTATCCTGCAAACATTAGAGAAATTTGAATGTCACATATTGTATTTTAATAGAATATGTGAAATGGTCCACATAGCAATGTGTTGAGTTACGCTTCTGTTTTCTGTCAATAGAGAAGCCTGAACGATCAACCAATGAGTCCCATTGAAGGTGATGATGAGCCTCTTTCTTCAGACCCAGCCAAGTGGCCATCACCAATTACCGACAGCATACGCACAGAGCTAGTTCGAAGAGGACCTACCAAGGTGCCAACTACTTTCATATTTCCCAAGAATGAAGGCGATGGCAGGTGTTGTCATCATCACTATTTCAGTAGAACTTTGACAAGTGGTGAGAAGGTGGCCAGGAGCTGGATGTTGTATTCAGTTAGCAAACGTTATATATAATACACTCCACGCAATTTTGAAACAAAGCTGTAGGTGTAATTTTTTTTCTTGTGTGTGTGTGTGTGTGTGTGTGTGTGTGTGTGGGGGGGGTGTCACGGGGGATCTCGCACAGGGCGCCATTTAGGCCAGCTCCGCCTCTGTCTAGAGGAAAGATCACCAGAACGCTGCGCCATCTTCTCGTGCCTTCTCCCGATTTAGAGCCAGCTTTTTCCAGTCAGTGAACCACTCTGCCATCTAGCGGTCATGTCTTATAATCCTTTGACTATGTTTTCGTGGCTCATAAATACATATATGTCTAAATAAACAATTTTACATTATTAAAAACTAAATGCAGGTCTATCTTTTAAAAGTACAGGATCCTGAGATACTCTATTTCCCCACAGAAAAACATATTTGTCCCTTCAACACAAGTTTAGACTAAATCCAAAGGAAATTCAGATTTCCCAGCTTCCACCCAGCATTCAAATGCACCACGTTCACACAAATCAGTCAGGTGAGAAAAGAGTCTCAAAAGGATGTTCAGGTAAACTGATGTGTGTAATGTAGTTTTGTCGGTGTGTATCAGGTGAATTGTGTGTGTGTGTGTGTGTGTGTGTGTGTGTGTGTATTTAATGATTTGTATGTGTATAGGACCATCATTACACATGAAAACATAAACACAAGTTACAAATCAAGAGTTACACATGCTTACACTACATATGCTTATGCTACACTACAAACACACAGATCTTGATACACACACAAGTCTTTTGAGACTTTTTCTTCCCATAATAATATGACAGATTTATTTTTTTTTAAATCAGATTTAGCTCACGCATTTAGATGTAACATTTGGATTAGCCAAAGTTGTGTGAAATGTAAAATGCTGGTGAACCTTTGTAGATCGTTTTCTAAGGAATCTCACAAACAAAACTTGCATGAGACATAAAGCCTTTGGTAAGGTGACATCCTGTGTAGCCTGTTCAACGTTGCTTCTTCCATCAGAGATTTTACTAACTTATTTTCCAATAAAACACGTAGAGGTAAGTCTGAAACCAGATTTGAAAACAAACACCTTTCATCTAAAAAAGATAAAGTTAGCTAAATATAAAAAACAACTGTGCGTATAAAAATGTTCACTTGATGCCCCACGGTGGAAAAAGAATTCTGGTAAAGGCGGTGATGACAGCATGTGTCCGTTTCCGCTTGCCTTCACAATAAAAGCACGATGAAAAAAATATATAGGTCTGGATCTTCAGAACCAAAGGGTTCGTTGGGTCTCTGTGGACCCGTCCTTCGTTCTGGTTTTCACAGGTGAGAAACAAACTTCACATGTGAAGCGGTTTATACTTGAAATGTGAGTTGAACCCGTCTGGATCCCGTGAAGTGGATCAGAACCACCTGAGGAGGACCTGTTGACAACTGGACTGAGTTTCTGCGTTGCGGCTGTTTGTTTTTGCACAAATCCCGCTGCCGCTCTCCTGGATCAGAAGAGCGCAGCTGGACTTTATGCTTTAGAACCATCTCCGGTGTTCCGGTTGTGAATGAACAGTTTACGGACCGTAGGCTCGCGCCACCTGCGACGCACATCCACACTGACGCGAACACCGACACCCACGCGGAGACTGTCGCTCCAGAACCGGACTGCGGTTGGACTTCCAGTCGGTGTCTCCGTTCAGGTGACGATGCGGTGGCCCACCGGAGGTAAGCTCGCGTCGGTACCGCTGATGGAATGTGAGCTAACGGTACCGCCGTCCTTAGGGCCATCCTCTTTGCGTTTGTTCAGCCGCCGAGGCGCTAATTAGAGACGGATCTCCACAATTCTAGAGAAACGCATCCCGGTTCTTTCTCCGGTAACCGAACCCAACGGCAAAATAGAAATTCTGGTGGCACTGCGGTTCCGATTAAGCCACCTGGCAGCTGAAGTTCTGGACGGACCGAGTCCTGCAGCCAGCTGCAAGCTGATGTGGGAGGTGATGAGTCCAGAACCGAGCCGCGGTGCTGCTGGTGAAAGACTGGTGGAGCCAGATTTATTTTTACCAAAGCGATTTTCATGGTGCGTTTTTTCTCTCTCATCCAAACCCACAAACTCCGCACGTCACGGTTCTGGTCCTTACAGAGGAGAACCGGAACCAGGAGGGGTGTTGACCCTGCTGGTGTGTCAGACCCGTGGCTGGAGAAGGTTCATCCTGGGTCGGCTCTAACCCAAAATGGACTGGTTCTGAAGCGTTCAGATAAACTAGAACCAGATTAAATGTTCTGTCAGAACCAGACTGGATGAGAGTGGGTCAGAACCAGGCAGATAGTCAGGCAGTACCACTATGTGGATCTTTTATCTCTTAGGAATTTGGGATTCTGGTAGGAACCCAGTCATGATTTTCTATTTCAAATTAAAAGTGAAACAACGATTGTTTGTTAATAAATGTTTTTATTTAAAAAGTTCAGATTGTCCGTGGATAAAATATTATTCAGTATAATAACGAATGAATCGGAAATGAAACTTAATACATTTAATCATTAAAAAGTTGAACTGGCTGCTGAGTGGAAAACGCCCGGCATGCACTCGGTCAGGAAAATGGCTTTGAGTTTTAGCTCTCATCGCACTGTTGCATATTTCGTCATCTTCTCAAAGCGTCTCCAACCAACACCACCAGTCTCACCACCCATCATGTCTGACTCAAAATAGAGGCAGAGCAATCCACGAAACATACAGGTGAACCTGGAAAAATGAGAATTTGGTGCAAAAGTCCATTTATATCAGTAATCCGTCAGACTGAGAGACCATCTAAAGGCTCAGGAACCATTTGCAGGTGTTCTGGATTTATTAGCTGATTAGAGTGTGACACTTTGAGTCTAGAACATTGAACCTTTTCACAAACAGGATCTGCTCTGGAGTGGATCTCCTCATATCTGTCTGAGCGTTCCTTCTCTGTGCCGTCTCCAAGTTTCAGTCCTCCATCACCTCCCTCACCAAGGGTGTTCTGCAAGGTTCTGTGCTGCGGTCTCTACTGTTCTCCCTCTATCTGCTTGTGCTGAAGAGGAAGCAGATGCATGACATTTCTTTAAAGGAATCTCCTACCACCTTTATGCAGATGACGTCCAACTGTACATCTGCTTTAAGCCCCATGAGATGTCTAAGCTGCAGCTCTTAGTCTCCTGCTAGACTCTATTAAAACCTGGATGGATGTCAACTTTCTACAGCTGAATGAAGATAAGACTGAGATCCTCATCTTTGCCCCAGACAAGCTGGTTCCCAAAGTCAGAGACTCTCTCGGTCAGCCTCCCAGCAAACACTCGGATGTTTAATAAACTTTGAAAAGACGTCGGGCCGGCACGTCCCGTCGTGGTTGAAAAATAGCTCCAAAATGAAAGGCGAACCGACGTCTTGCCTGGATGTGAATTACACGTCTTTTGGCACGTCTCATTTAGACGTTTAATGACCGTCAGTGTACATCTCATCTACACTGTAAAATAAAATGTAGTTTTTACATTTAACAATAATTATAATAAATAGAATATTTCCTGTGTCCGACCTTGCTTTACCAATTGACTAAACCCAGCCTGGACTCAAACCCAGGTCCTCTAGAGTGTAAGGCAGATGTCTAACCGGTTGAGCTATCCCATTGACATTTACGAAGAGACAAATAGCAGATTTTCACTTACAACTGATTCACGACATGCCATTTGTTGAACTACACGTATGGCAGTGGTCCGCAAACCCCGTGCCCACCCCCAACGGCCGACCGGGAGGTGTATGATGGATAAAGCTGAGGAAAATAATCAAATAATCAATGCATGAGATGCGGGCATAAACGATTCTGCATCATAGAAGAGGACCATAATCCGTTATAGTGGAATGTGGTTTTGTTAGGGTTAGGTTTAATGGCGGCACCAGCGCAGCATCCGCATCTGTCAGAGTGGGTGTTCTCCACGTTTACCGGGTAGGAAACTTTGGTCCACCCTGTAACCTGAGACCGAACCCGAACCCAATCAGCCCGATCGGCTCTGTTGGATTTGAGTCGTGAATTATGTTAATGGAGCGGGTTGTCGCGCGGTGCGCTCCGCTCGCTCGATCAGCGACTGAGAGAGAGAGAGAGAGAGAGAGAGAGAGGATCGGAGGACGCTCCTCCAAACGCGTTATTATTTTCATAATTTCATTATTATTTCTCCTCGAAGCGCTCAGGCAGACGAGTGCTGTGATGTCGGGAGGTCCGGTCTTGGGGAGGGGGCGGGGTCAATGACGGCGGCTGTAGCGTAATCGTCTGTCTCTTTTATTTAGGGACACGGAGAAGTTTAAAGGAGAGAGAAATGGAAGACAGAAGTTCTTGTTCCACTTTATTCTTTTGTTTCATGAAGATAAACTGATGTTAAATTCAGCTTAAAGAGAAACTGGGAGGAAGCTTTGGTTCATTTTAAGTTACAGGAGTTCTTGTCTCCTATCTGCTCCTCCAGAGACAGCATGGACATGAGGGTCACATGGTGAGGGTCGCACAGGACAGGTTAGTGCAGTCACACAGCCGAGCTGGAGGGGAACAGGTGTTGTCCTGCTTTAAATTGCAAGCTTGTGTGTTATGTGCATTACAGCAGCTGAAAAACTCACCTGTTCAAGCTGGTTTTTGCGTGACCTTTCATCACCCTCTCCTTATTCTGCTCTTTCTACCTATTCCGCCTATCCTGTTTATTTTCTCTTTCTCTTTCCTCCCAGTTTTAATCACAATTTTTACTATACATTTTCTCTATTTTTAACCATATTTTTTGTATGACAAAATAAGTCTTTTTAATATTTGAAATTTTTTGTTCTTGTGAAGTGCCTCATGATAGGTGGCTTTTCAGCAGATGTGGACTTAGCCATTTTAGGGCCTGAGGCCAAGCCCAGAAATGACCCCCCCATTTCCCACCTTGACATTATTTTCAGCCCACGTTTCTTGAACAGCTGCATGTTTCCACATGTGAGTCTGAACTCACAGGACCTTCATAATCATTATTCATTCAAAAATCTTTCAGACTGACCAGTGGAAGTTTGCTGTTTCCATATCAGATGGAAACAATCAGAAACATTAGAGGTCAGAGATGAGTGTATTACCATTTGTTTGTTTTTTGTGGCAGATATGTTGAAATGAATTAATCTGAGTGAAAAACAAAGAACAAAAACAGTTTTAATTCCCAGACAATGGGTGGATATTTACATCCTTGTTAGTCATGATGTTTGAAACAGCTTTTATGAACAATGGATATTCCAGATCGTCATTTTAAAAACTGCAATGCTGTTTTATTTTCTAAATGACACCAGAGAAATCTGTAAAAGTGACTGACTTTAATGAAACGTATTCTGATCTAATTGACCTGGAAGAACTGAATTGTGGGTGTCGACATTAAAGTTATTTTCTGTTACACGGCAAACCTGCTTGTCAAACCTCCCACAAGACATTTTACGACAGAGCTCGTTGTTTCAGCAGCACTTCTTACCAGCAGCTTCTCTTCATTAGCATTAGCGTTTCAAAGGGAGAACATGGTTAACTCCTGCAGAAAGGCTGCAGGCATGGTAATACCCATAATAATAGTAGTTGTAGTAGTAGTAGTAATAATAATAATAATAATAATAATAATAATAATAATAATAATAATAATAATAATAATAGTAATACCACTACTACTACTACTACTGATAATAATAGTAATGATGGTGATATTAATATTGATATAAATAATATTTATAATATTATTAATTTTGATAATAATAATAATTATTATTATTATATTAATATTGATATTAATACTACTACTATTAATAATATTAATATTGATATGAATAATATTTATAATTCAAAATTTTGATATTATTAATAATAATAATAATGCTTTTTCAGTACTTGGACCAAGTCTCTGTAATGAGCTGCCAGCCGATGTAAAACAGGCCAAGTCATTAGAAACCTTTAAAGGAAGACTGAAAACACATCTGTTCTCGCTGGCTTTTGGACGTTGAAGTTGGTGGAAGTAGGCCGGGTATGGAATGTGAACTGGCACTCAGGTTTTTGTACTGTATTTTAAAATGGATTTCTTATTGTATTTTTATAGGATTTATTACGGTATTTTACAGGGATTTTTTAGTGTATTTTAATGGATTTTTAAATGTATTTTAATGGTCATATCTCTGTCCTATTGTGTGGCATTTTATTGATGTACAGCGCTTTGTTTGTCCATTCTGGCCATGTGAAAGCGCTCTATAAATAAAGTTGATTTGATTTGATTTGATAATAGCAATAATAATACTAATAATGATGTTAATACTACTACTACTACTACTACTAATTATGATGATATTAATATTGATATTAATAATATTTATAACACTATTATTAATTTTGATTAAAAATGATGATACTAATATTGATATTAATATTTATAATACCATTATTAATTTTGAGAATAATAACAATCATAATAATAATAGCAATCATAATACAAAAATACTAATAAAGATATTACTACTACTACTACTAATAATAATGATATTAATATCGATATTAATATTTATACTATTATTAATTTTGATTAAAAATGATAAAACAGTTGCTGTATGGGGAAACAAAAAAATTTAATCAAAGGTTGATTGAACAAGCAGGAGAGTATTAACAGCAATATCATGTCATGTGAGGGTGTGACACACACACACACACACACACACACACACACACACACACACACACACACACACACACACACACACACACACACACACACACACACACACACACACACACACACACACACACACACACACACACACACACACACATTTTTGAGCACAAATCAGCCAGTTCATCTTTGATTTGTTTTTTTCTCCAAACACACAAACATCAAATACTGCTGAGTCATCAGTGGGATGTGATCTTGAATACATTCTTATCCTCTTCTGGGTCAGAAGAACCATCCTTCTCTCTGGATAAGCTGCTTGCACATCCTATCTAGCTGACCACTGGCTCCCCTCAGCTGAGCTGACAGGTGCTGGTGGACATGGACTCTGCTAGTACTGTAGGTCAGCTCACCATTACTCTTGGTTGTTGTCAGAATCATTTGTTCTCCAGTGAAGCTGTGGACTTTGACAGTGAAAGGACTGTTTTTGTCTTTTCTTGACTAACCAAGGCCTCTGTGTACTCAGACAGAACCTTGATTATTTGTAGGAACAAGTCTGACTGTCCATCTTACATTTACCATCATAAGTTCTTCTCAGTACCTACACCCCCAGCAGGTCCCTGAGGTCCAGTGACCAAAGCCTACTGGTTGTGCAGCACCAGGCTAAAGACCAAACGTGACAGATCATCTGCTGCTGTGGCCCCCAGACTCTGGAACACTCTCCTCCTGAGCCTGAGTTCAGTGGACTCAGTGGTCTCCTTTAGAAGGCAGATGAAAACTTACCGGTTCATGCTGGTTTTGGTTTGACCTTCATCACCACCCACTACGCATGCCCCAGGTTCCACTGATTTCCCTTTCCTCACATTTTTTATTCACATTTTCCCCATCATGTTAACCATTCAAAAAAATCTCTTTTACATAAAATATTTTGGTCTGGTGAAGCACTTTGTGATTTTGATCTTGAGGGGCGCTGTATAAAAGATTTCTTTGGAGATGTGGCTCTCAAGTACACTTGTTTGCTTGCATCATTTTCATTGTGGGTGTTCAGCCTGGCAATAGTGGACTATAGTTAAGTGAGTTTTTGCTCTATGGAAGCACCAATCCCCTCTGAGAAATTCTGTGTGATAGTGATAGCAACACCTCCCTCTAGCTGCACATTGTCACCGTCATCCGCACTGGCATCAGAGAGAGTGGTGCAGCTTTTCTGCTTCAGAAGGTGTTCTCCATCATCAGAGACTGCTGTCTCTGACTGCAGACATCACCTGAGTCGCTGAAGACGGGCAGAACAGGACGTCTCATTCAGGCATCACTTCCAGAGGCTGATGTTTCATTCCAGTTGGCTCTGCAGTCTACAACTTTGGACCAATGCCTACACTATACAACCTTACATACATTTATGCTTGATTGCAAGGGAGATGAATTCTCAGGCACTTCACACGTCAGCCTCCATCCACCTTTGCCGGCTCCTCCTGGGAATATAACGTTTTTTGTTCTTTTAATCATCACCTCACCCCACAGGAGTCTGAGCAGCTCACCTGTAGATAAGATATATAATTTGTTGTGCTCCAAATCACCCAAAAATAACAGACTTATGAAAAAGTGTTGGATTTAGTTTTTCACTTCCTGTATTTTGATATTAAAGATACAGTCTGAGATTTTTTTCTGGAATATTTTTGATTCAAATGTTCTTCACGTGGCACTCGATAAATTACATATTTGTCAAAAAATGAATAATTTTAATCACCTCTGAAACGCATAATCTGTGATATACCTCATCCTATCCAGCCCTGGCCCCCCCAGCTGTATTAATGGCTCATAATCCATCCATCAAACTGCTCCCCTAAATGACTGTGACCCTGCTGCACCTCTCTGTGCACAAAGCTAGTTTAGCTATCTAGTGTCATGGATGGAAGGCCCCGTTCTGTTTGCAAACTTCATTTAAAGCTACTGTAGCAATTCTGCAAAGAAGCTAGCTTTTGAATGCAAACATGTTCCTGGTCATGGTCATTTGTAACTGCTTCTAAGTGATTTTCAAGTCAAATCAAATCAAAAATACTTTATTAATCCCAGAGGGAAATTATCAGGAGATCAGACATACATGGGCAAGACACATGACAAGAATTGGTGACTGTGGTCATACGCAACCCTGAGTCGCCCTACCTTAATAGAGATCAGAGGGTTACATGAGGATTGGTTCAGGTGGAGGGAAAAAAAGGCACTTCAGAGTTACCCTCCAGCAGGAGGGCAGCTTTGCTCTGCAAAAAAACACCTCAGACAGATATGCAACAGGCTTCAGACAACACAACATAAGTGTCCACTATGTGGGGTGGTGGGTTGGGACTATCCCCACTTCAGCTCCTGCAGCCACGATTAGCAGCACATGTCACCTCAGTGTGGATAGGGGGAGGAGCATTGAGGGTTAGAGGGTTGCAGTGACCCTGGAACATTTCAGCGGCCTTCCCACAGTCCCGCCCAGGCTGGAAAAGGAGACAGAGTTGAGTTGCCATAGCTACGGCACATTCCACATATCTTCTGAGGGGGGAGTTTTCGTTGGAGGCTTTCAGGCTCAAGGGCGCCAGATTCCGATTAGAAATTGTTTTGGGGCCAGACAGAGATCATTTCCTCTCTGTCTTACAGTTTGTTGGTCCTCAACCTCTCAAAATCCCAATAATGGACATTAATCTATCCCAATCTGTGCTGATTCGTCCACTCTCTCCTTGATGGCATCCATCTTTTGTGCCAATAATGAATCTCGGTTAAAAGTTAAAGTTAAAGTTTAAGTCCCATTAGTTGTCACACACACTGGTGTGTGTGCGAAATTTGATCTCCGCATTTGACCCATCCCCTGGGGGAGCGGTGAGCTGCA